GACACCGCAAAAACCGACCCACAAGTGAGGTAACTCAATGACACGAGCAATTTACTAGAGTTACCTTTTGGCACTCCGCCAGGGAAGGTACAACTCCCCTCACAATCACCGAAGGCGGCCACGAACAATCACCAACTCGTGCCGATCCTTCACCGCTGCTCCAACCGTCTCAGGTGGTGGCAACCACCAAGAGAAACAAGCGAAATCCATGACAAGAACACGAATACCAAGTGCCACTAGATGCAATCACTCAAGCAATGCACTTGGATTCTCTCCCAATCTCACAATGATGATGGATCAATGATGGAGATGAGTGGGAGAGCTTTGGCTAAACTCACAAGGTTGCTATGTCAATGAAAATGTGCAAGAGACTTCCCTTGAGCCGCCATGGGGCTATAAATAGAGCCCCCATCAAATAGAGCCGTTATACCCTTCATTTGGGCAAAAGCAGCGTTACGGCCGGGACGCTCGGTCGGGACCCGGCCGACGGCCGGCTCTCGGCGTCCGGCCGCTCGATCATCGACCACGTGTCCAGACTCAACGGTCATCGACCTCGACCGGACGCTGCTCCTTGAATCGACCGGACGGGGCCTGAAGCCCCAGCGTCCGGTCGTTTCGATAAAGCTCCCGAGGCATGATTTTTTCGACCGACGCGTCCGTCCACCTTGACCGGACGCAGCCCGTCCGTGCTCAACCCTAACCATCAGTATCATTGAAAGTAATGCGACCGGACGCAGCGACAGATCGGCGTCCGGTGTACGATTCAGCGTCCGGTCCGGTCACAGGACCGGCCGCCACATCATTTCGATCAACTCCATTTCAACTCTTACTTCTTCACCCTTGCTCAAGTGTGCCAACCACCAAGAATTTTGCATCCGGCGCAATAGAAAATAGACATTTCATTTTTCCAAAAGCGCATCTCAACCCTGCAAACACCTTGTGCACATGTGTTAGCATATTTTCACAAATATTTTCAAGGGTGTTAGCACTCCACTAGATCCTAAATGCATATGCAATGAGTTAGAGCATCTAGTGGCACTTTGATAACCGCATTTCGATACGAGTTACACTCCTCTTAATAGTACGGCTATCTATCCTAAATGTGATCACACTCACTAAGTGTCTTGATCACTAAAACAAAATGGCTCCTACATTTTATACCTTTGCCTTGAGCCTTTTGTTTTTCTCTTTCTTCTTTTCCAAGTTCAAGCATTTGATCATCACCATGCTATCACCATTGTCATGATCTTCGTCATTGCTTCATCACTTGGAGTAGTGCTACCTATCTCATAATCATCTTGATAAACTAGGTTAGCACTTAGGGTTTCATCAATTAACCAAAACCAAACTAGAGCTTTCACTTGCCCTTCACACTTGCAACAGGTCCATCAAGCCAAGTCATGTCTTGATCTTCTCCACCTTGATCACATGGCTCAATGTTATGTCTCATGTGCAATGAGCTCCTTCATCATCACATGTGTGAGCTTTGCAACATCTCCGAGCCATTTCCTCCTCCATGGCATATGTTGTTCATACACATGTACCTGTGGACTAATCACTTGTGTATCTCACATAAACACAATTAGTCCACCTAGGGTTGTCATTCAATTATCAAAACCACACAAGGACCTTTCAGTAGGGGAGATCCTGATCTGTTGTGCGACAATGACGATGGCAGCCGGATCAATAGGATCGGGCGCCTAAACGGGGGCGCTGCCCCTGGTGGAGATCGACCTTTCCCCTAGGGCACGCGGTGCGGAAGCGGGGGCGACTAGGGTTAGGATCTAAACCTAGGCGAATGATACCATGAAGGAGAATATAATTGGTGTAATATTGGATGTATTGCATTGGGCCTCATGGACTGATTATATAGGGTACATAGGACTAACACCTCACGTGGGTACACAATGTGGTACTATTCCTATTTACTCTGACAACGGGCAGTACCAAACTACCAGCAGCTGAAGAGTTTAGGATTCACTAGTGCACTTACTAGTTGCTGGTAGAAAAGTGAGAACGTTGGGTGTTTTTTTTCAGCTTGGGAGAACCAGTGCGTAGAAATGGGAATGGAGTACCGTGCACAACAATTCTTTGTCGGTAATGCTTAAATGTTGAATCCGATTGTGTGGACGTTTCTGTTGGTGGGTCGTAACACCGGCCCGAACAGCCCAAGAGGTGTTCTCGCCTTTCTACAGGAGCTGCGCTTGCCTTTCTTACTGAGAAATCCTTCAGTGTTGCTTACGAACGGAACTAACTCTCCACTCGCCAAGGTCTCCGCACCACCGCCGCGGCGTGCTCCACTAGGACCACGCCGCCGGGGCGTCCACGGTGCTCGACCACCCACTGGCCACCATCCTCCACTGCACCCGAGCGCCGCCGCCTCTCCTTCCTCCCTCTTCACCGCGCTCCGGCCACCATCCTCCATTGCACTCGAGCACTACAGCCCCTCCTTCCTCCCTCTTCCCCGCCCTCTGGCCACCCACTGGCCACCATCATCCAATGCACCCGAGTGTCACCGCCCCTCCTTCCTCCCTCTTCACCGCGCTCACCTACTATCTGTCACACCCTAAAATTTCTGATTTTTGGTTGTGCATAGAAAACACTAAATAAAATGAATTATTTTAATATGTGGATAAAATTTACCAAGTTTAGTTTGAGCTAACGCAAATTTAGTTATAGAAAAATGTGAATTTTCAAAGTTTTCTAATGTTGAAGGGCGTTTGGATGATATGATGTTTGCATGTTGCTTCTTTGTGTGTTGAGAGTGAGCAAAGTCTTTAAAATGTGTTAGTAGGTCGATTTTCCTTCTCCGGCACGTCTTTATCTTTTTCTACAATCAAATTTTTTGTTTCTCGGCTCAAGTTTTGTTGGGAGCTTCCTAAAATATTTTCTTTGTAACGCAAATCACTCCTTTCAGTTCCTCATCTGTCAATCAATCTTTACAAACTTCTCGAGAATTTTTTCTAGCTTTTTTCTGAAACTTGTTCCTACTTGTCTGTGAGCATAATTTAATTTTTGATGCTCCAAATTATCTTATCATAGGCTCCAAATATTTTATTTGGGTTTTTCATGTTCCATAATGTCTCTGGAAAATTTTCCTGAATTTTCAGAGCTTTCAGAGTATTTTCGCGGCTTAAATAATAATTCTAGACTTTTCTGAAATTATTTTATCCACGAAATTAATTAATTCCGAAAATAATAAATCTTTCATTTTTTCCAACGCTCAAAGCCCATGTGCAATAATCCTAATAAATCTCAAAGGTCCATACATTTATTTATTAATGTGCTTTAATGATTATTTAGGCTCATTAGTAAATGTGGAGGGTGCAACATCAATTAGTACCATATTGCTAGTTGATGTAGATGTGAGGAGTTTTTCTCCCCATAATTATATGGCAACCCCTTGGGCAAAGCACACCAAAACTACCGTAAAGGGAGCTCCTAGTTTGAAAAATCTCTCGTGTAGTAAATTAGATTTTTCTCATCCTTCTCTCGCCGTCGCCGCCGCGCTGCCCGTTGCCGCCTTGTCGAGCTGTACGTCATCATTCTTCTACTCATCGCTGGAGCTCTTTGTCCATGAAGACACGCCGCCGCCGCCGCTGGCGCCACCAGCTGCTTCACCGCCGTTCGCTACACCGCTGCCGAGGTTCGAATCGGTGATGAATCCGTCGACGCTTCACTTCCTTCCTCTTGCAGAATCAGCGGCATAAGTCTCATTTTGCCTCGGATCGATCGAGTGTCAAACTGTTCATCGATCATACTCTGCTGCTCATCACGTTGCTATGCAAGCACACCTACATGCTCCCAACTCAAGCGCCATGCATACCTGAAATTCCACGTACGATACGTGCACCAAGCCACCGACGGCACATCTATCCTTCACGTTTTGTTTATAATCCATTCTATCTATCGTATGATCTTCTCTTTAAATAATTAGCTACAGCTTTAAAATTCGGTAGTTTCAATAATCTAGCTCTGATTTAGTGGCGATAGTCTCATAATTTAAATGTTAGAAGCGACCATGCCAAATATTTTTGAATTTTATAATTTAAAATATTACTGTTATTGATGTTTATGTGCAACTAGTTTTCTAATCTAAAAGCAATATAGGTGTTACACTACGGTATTTGATATGTAAATAAATGTTAAATATGATTAACTGCTACAGTTAAACCACGTTGCATATACTAAACTCAAAAATAGGTGTTCTCTCATGTCATTTTACTTTGTAAAGTTAAAGTTTAAATAGCTTAATTTATACGGCAACATTTATGAATAAAATGTGACCAGTTTAACCCGCTTTTGAATCAAAATATAACTTGAATTAATAACCTTCACATGGTTTTATCTAATTAAAATAAATGAAGCTTACAGGTTTTCTTTTATCTACAAATTAGACCATTCGATAGTTGTTTCTTTTATACATAACGTCTTATAATTTAAAACGAATGGAGTAGTACTTTAGATTTTTGCAAAAAAGATGATAAAGACTTCGGTTCAACAATTAACTTAGATTACCCTATTTTAAAGCTTCTTTTTATAACAACCCTATTTCAAAAGTTGGATAATCCGATGGATGCAGATGTGGGTATCATGTAGTTTGAAGTATTAAGATCATAGTTTCAAAAGTTAGACATGATTCAAAGTGTCAACTTTTTTTTGTCACCGGAGGAACTATTTCTTATCTTAATCTTGACACCTTAATTTTGATTTGACTATTTGGAAGTATAATCTAGCACGAAAGGAGCAAGTTATTCGGCGTGCCTTTTCATTTCTCAATCATCATCCCTCAACCAAATGTCCAAATGGAATATCTCAAGATTCCTCATCTTTGTTCGGTTGTTCCCTCTAAAACTCAATAATAAAATTCTTTTAAAAAAACTCAATAATAAAAAAGTGCTCCGTTGGACCTTTCCCATCCATCCAAGAAGGCAAAGAACCAACCAACCAACCCCAAAACCAAGAAGGCAAGAACCACCACGGCACCGGCAGTCCGTTACATGGAGGCCGCAGCCTCCGCCCTTCTCCTCCTTGGCCTCAGCGCCAGCCTCGCTGCCTTCGCCTCGGCCGCGGCTCCGTACGACCCGCCGACGGTGCCGGAGCTCATGGACCGGTTCGGCCTCCCGCGCGCGCTGCTCCCGGAGACGGCCCGGCGATACCTCCTCCACGACGACGGCACCTTTTGAGCTCTTCCTCGACGACGGTTGCGTGGTAGAGGTGGGGGGCTACCGCGTCGGCTACGACATCGAGCTCTCAGGCACGGTGTCCCCCGGGACAGTCACGGGGCTCGAGGGCGTCCGCGTCCGCGTGCTCTTCGTCTGGGTGCCCATCACCGGCGTCCAGGTGGCCGGCGGAGAGGTCACTGTCCACATCGGGCCAATCAGGAAGTCGTTCCCTGCCGTTGGGTTCAAATCCAGCCCCCAGTGCACCATCGGATCGGCGGCGGCAGATATCTTGCTTCCTTCGGTAGAACAGTAGTCACTAATCAGCTGCGTGATCTGTTAGGATTTAGTGTTTGTGCTAGCATACTATCACACGATTATTGTATTCTTTAGTGGGAATATTTGTTCTCTCTCAAACAGAAAACAAACACTGTAACATATGATTTAAGTTTTATTTTTCTTTTGTTTTTACCCAACCGGAAATCATGCATCCCAGTTTGTTGTAGACTTGTAGTTCAACAAGGGAGATGGGGGATGCAATTTGTATCCACAACTTCAATTTAGTGAGTTTGTTGCACAAAACATCATGCACTTTCATGTTGAACGCTGAAATGGCAAATGAGGTTATTGCGCAAAAGATCATGTGCTTTCATGTTCAAGGCGGAAATGTTCACAAAAAATTTAGCGAATAGGAAGAAGCAATTGAAAACATAAAAAATGTTTGAAGATGAAAAACAACTGGAAACATAAAAAAGAAGATACAGTGAAGAGAAAGAAGCAATTGGAAACATAAAAAACTGAAAAATGTATTAATAGAAATTAAAAAAATGTTTGAAGATGAAAAGCAACTGAAAACGTAAAAACGAAGATACAGTGAAGAGAAAGAAGCAATTGGAAACATAAAAAACTGAAAATTTAAAAAGAGACAAAAAAAAATGCAACCCAAATAAAGCATTAAAAACTGAAAAATGTATTAATAGAAATTAAAAAACGCCGTCTGTGGGATTCGAACCCACGACCACACGGTTAAAAGCCGTGCGCTCTACCGACTGAGCTAAGACGGCATATGGTTCAATATTCCTTATTATGCTTAATCACATGAAGAATGCACAAAGAGTACACCAATCCACCTTCGTAGCTGATTGTCTGAAACTCAAATCAGTGTTAATGGATTTCAACCACAAACTGCGAATAATGTACATCAAAGAACAGAGACCACATCAATCAATCGCACGGTGCTATTGCTTTGTTGCTAATTAGTACTGCTACTTATCTACTCCTACCTACGCAAAATGCAATGTAGTTATTGCAGCCTACTAACACTTTCACCTGAAACATGCATCGAGACTGGTTGCTGCTTTATCCTGGACAGTAGGAGATACACCTCCTGCGTTGCAAGATCCATCCGCTCATGAGATTTTGTTGCTTCACTCACCAGCGTTGAGACCATGGATTGCAATGCTCCCACTCTCTCAGATGCTACGCCCTCAGGGTGATGAGGAGCTCCATTCAAGTTGTTGGACGGTGGTGGCTGAGTCCTGCGCCACCGGACAGGAAGGTACAGGTCTGGGATCTGGAAATAATTCAGTGCTGTGAGCACGCGAAGGGCATGCCGGCAGAGGATCCCTGAGGACTCGAACATCTGGCAGCAGCAAGAAATGAGCTCCTCCCTTTGGTTCCATGTAACACTGCAATCACCCGCCTCCTTGGTATGGTGACGGACAAGAAAAATACTCCCTTCCAGGTGGAAGGATGCATATTGAGCAGACGCAACAAGCTCATCTTGTAGCTTAGAGAAGGCATATGGGCTGAGAACTGCAGCAGCATGGCCTTCAATTGGAGATGCTGTCTTCAGGCTTATGCTCTGCAAACTTTGCCGCATCATTTCTTGTTCACCAGCTTGGTCTTTGTAGGTAACAATAATTGAAACCTGACGAAAGAATTAGCAGAGTAACACATTACTGCCCAAACAAGAAATTTATGTTAGCATGTACAATATGGCTATACTGGACTGAAGCCATAGTAAAGGGGATTGCATTTTTTTTTACAAATATCTGAAAACCATGGTGATCCACATCAAATGAAAAATTTGGTATTTGACAACAGATGCTCACCTGCTCAATGAAGTTTGCAAGGTGTCTTTGAGCACTCAAGAATCGCTGAATGAAGGCATTAGTTGACTTTGAAACAGCTGGGGAAGTAATCAGTCCTGCAGTAAAACGCCCTCTCAAAAACGGCAAGGCCCAGAGATTTCTTGATGCAAACAGACTAGCAATATGCTCATTTCCATGAAGTCCATAGCAGTTCACCATGTCATTCCACCCAAGATCAAATGCTACTGTGCTGTCCATGTTATATAGCCTATCAAATTCATTTTTCCAGTCCTTGTATCGCTCTCCTAGATTTGCACCAAACCAAGATGGGAGCCTGGCTTCTATTAGCCATTTGCAGAGGACATGCTTTGTGCTAGGTAGTTCCTTTTCAATTGCTTCCTTGAGACATACATTTTGATCTGTGAGTATCGTCAGAGGAGCTTTCCTGTTCATGAAGTTGAGAAACACCTGCCGACAAGAAATGCTGCCTAAGAGAACAATTGCAAAGTGGCAAAATGAGTTTTTACCCTGATGAACGGTTACCTGCAATGCCCATGCAAATGATATCTGATTCTCCTCCCTTAGAAGCACACAAGCAAAGAAGAAAGACCTTCCATAATTGTTCAAACCAACCCATATCCCAAGCACCATGTCGAGTGCAGATAATCGATGAGTGGTGTCAAACACAACAGCATCACCAAATAACTCATAAGACTGAACCGAATCCGCATACGTCCAGGCAATGTTCTCCACATGATTGTTCGCATCTTTGGTGAACTCACACTTGAAATTGGGATCCTTCTCTTTGAAATTCTTGCACATCCTAAGTAGATCGACGCTCTCGTCCTCGTCATGCTCGACCTTCCTGGACTGTATGAGGTTCCTCACATCCTTCTCCGTGAAAGGCAGGTTCCCTGGCTCGATGCACTTCTCCAGCTCCATTATCCTCATCATCTGCTGCACAGTGATCCCGGACTTGGCAAACATCAGGATCCGGTCCCTGTCGGCGCCGGAGATGAAGCGGTACGCCGGCAGGAAGCGCACCTTATCCTGCCCCAGGAGCGCGTGGTTGTGGTGGTTGGAGAACCCCATGACTCGCCACTGCGGCAGCGGACCTCCGGCGTCCGCGCCCTTGCCTATGCGCATATACGCCTGGCACCCGCACCGCGAGGAGCTCCTGTTCCGCTGCGGCCTGGTCGCACCGGCGAGCGGCTTCGCCGGCGCGGACCCCGCGCGGTGGCACACGAAGTACCGCCTGGTCAGCCCGCTGCCCACGCCGTCCTTCCCCTCCGTCCGGTGCCGCCGGATCGAGAACCCGCACCGCCGCGCGAACCCGCTGTAGAACTCGTACGCCGCGTCGTGGGTCGGGAACCGCTGCCCGACGTAGGGAGCGGCGTCGGGGTCACCCTCGCCCGCCTCCGCGGAGGGCGCCGCCGTCTCCAGCGAGAGCCGCGTCTCGTGGGGGGAGTCGTCCGCCGGCGTCATCCTGGCATTTGGCCACCGGAGGCTGCGAGAAGCGTGAAATCTTAGATGGATCTCCACCGGCTCGGTCCGAACCTGACTCGCGGCCTTACCGGGGCGCTCGGTCGTTCTTTTGGCTCGCGAGCTCCCGTCCCGCAGCGCTGTGAATACCAGGCGAGGACTAGGACTCGAGATATTAGGTTCACCGTAGCCATCAGCGTCCAACCGACGTTCCTAGTCCGATTGAGAGGACGCGCTGTGAGAGACGGAAAGCGTCACTGCTTTTGTCGTCGCCACTAGATTGCGCCTCCACTTCCTAGCTACCTCTACTCCGACACTCGAGGCCACGTCGCTGCGACGTCATGGCCGTGACTGCGCTTTGGGAGGTACATCGATAAGTTATTTGTCTCAGTTAAGTTTCACCCACTAGATCTACACCTAGAAGTTCTATAAATCCTATCAATGGTATCAGAGCCAGGTTGGTGTGTGGATCTAGTTTGAGGTAGTCTAAGTTTTAGCATTTAGTAGAAGATAAATCGGAACGAACAAATCCAGTAGAGTTAAACCATAGCCCTAACCCTAACCCTAGAAGACGGAGAGGACAGGAGCCTACCGAGGGGCTTACCTATCGCAGTTGTCACCGTCGACGTCGCTCCGACGTTGTGCGGGAAGAGCATCCGAATCGCCGGTGCCGGTCGGTCACGCCACCGCGTGGCCTCCGCATCGGGCTCAGGAGTCAAGGGCGTCTCCACAAGGCCACTCGACGGCGGCGCACTCAGCCTCGGGGCGAGCGCGCGCGCTGGCGAGGCGCCCTGCGGCGGCGCCGCCACGCCTGTCCGGTCACCATGAGCAGCCGTATCTATTTCCCTAGATCTACTCGCCATGGCTACGGGGCTAGAACAGAAGAGAAGGGGAGCGAGAAAAAAGAAATGGAAGGGTAGCTGGAACTGCTCCGACGACGCTTTTCCTCACCGACGCCGACGGCCAATGTGACCGCCGCCGCTGTCACCTCTACGGCGAAGAGAGAGGAAGGGAGGGTGAAAATGTGTTTAGGGTTCGGGGGAGGAGGCAGGCGTCGGGGTTTTGTTCCTCTGAGTCTCGCGCACGACCGTCGGATCGCGATCGACGGCTCGCAGAGCTCGGACCGAATATGGCCCAGGCGGGAGAGAAGAATTCCGACCCAGGCCCAGGTTGTGGCCTGGGACGCGGAAACGCGCAACGCGCGAATAGGCCATGGGCCGGTTTCCAGTATGGGTAGCGCGCTAGATCGCGCGAGCGGGCGCGCGGGCGAGATGGGCAGCGGGCCGGCTTTTTCTCAGTTGGGCCAAAATGAACATAAGAGCCTGTTTCAAGGTTTATTATTTTCAGAAGCAAATTTTGATGAATTTAGATTAGTTTTTCATCTCTATTCAATTTTGAACCAACAGGATAAATTATTCAGAGAGTAGATGAGTACAGTAAAATGCTTTTAAAAAGTAGATAAATTATTTTTTTCATATTTCCGCTGTAAAGTTAATGATTATTATCTTCTCATTAAATTCGAACCAACAGGATAATTTAATTTAAAGAGCAGTTATATTTATTCAGTAAATTATGATTATGTTTATCCTCTAATTAAATTGGAACCAACGGGAAAACTTAAATTGGCGGAGTAGTTTGATTTATTTAAGTTTAATTATGATATTGTTATTTTTCTGTACAACGTTGATGATAACAATATTATAATGAGTTTAAGTTTGAAGTTTAAATCTCTGATAAATTTTACACCAACGTGGTCAATTTTTCAGAGAGTAGATAAGGACCAAGAAATGTTACTAAACTAATAGAATGTATTTTATTATCATTTTTTCGCTGCAATGATGTTTACTATCTTCTAATTAAATTCGAATCAATGAAAAAATTTAATTTTGAAGAGTAGTTATACGTCCTTCAAGTGAATTTATGAATTTTATGGATTAATTCTATTTTCTGTCCAACAGTGATATATAATTGATGCAGAAGCACCTTGTATGTTTTAGTTTTAACCGACGAGATCACTCGGCTGCAAGTCAACGGACTGTAATGCTGGGCTATGTGAATGGAAAGGCTTGAGTTAAGTCAGTTCAGACTATTTTTTGTTAGTTTGCTAATTTTTTGATTAAATTAGAACCAACGAGAAGATTTAATTGAAAAATAAAGTATAAGTAAATGTTTTAGTCGTCATGACTAAGTTTTCGTTATAGTAAATAGTATATATTTTTTCCATCATTATGATAAGAGTTGCAATAAGTAACATGCATGTCTAATTTGACCAACGTTGGATTAAGCATGCGTGTTTGTATATAGATTTATCCCGCATGAGGAGAAGTTTGGCATAGTACTTATGATAGTCAATCATGCATGTTGAAAGAAGTTTTGTGATGACTCATATGTTTTTATATCCCACATAGCGAGAGAAGTTTGGGTAGCTCTTATGCTATCCTAGTATTGACCATGGCACAATAGAGATACACCGTCATGGTCAATACTAACCAAAAGATAAGAAAAAGATACAAGCGTGACTTGTAAAAGTACTGCTAATAAAAGACCTCATTAAGTTCTTGAAGTAGAATGAGGAAAGTGTACTCCTATACGGATCAAGAAATAACTTTGTTTGCATGACATAATCATATGAATGAAGTAAGTTATAAGTGTCTCCTCGTTCACAGGGTTTCTGAATAGCTCTCGAAATTATGGTAGTAAAGCTATAATTAAGAAAGATGAGATAAAGTTGTTAATGAATGTGACTACTCTTTATCAAGAGTGAGATAAAGATGTTGATGAATGTGACCATCGATCATAATAACGATACCCCTAAGCACAGAAATAGCTAAATTCCTGGATCTTTTACAGTTCCGATAGGAAGATAGCGTAGTCAGCCAGAATTCATACTGGACGAGCCTTAAAGATGTTAAGGTGGTGCTTAAAGCGTCATATGAAGTTTTAACAAATTAAACCCAAACAAAAAATTTAAAGGTACACTATCTTTATAGAAGATGAGATGATCTGGGAGAGCATGATATGTAGAGACCTATGACTTGAAGAGAAGCGGGACTGCGTGCCCTCTTTAGTGATTCAAAATCAATAAATTTCTCAATACTTGTTGACGTTGTATGACTTACACAGCATCTGTTGTTAGCTCTTCAAAGAAGATGAATAATGTAAACAAGTATCTTGTAATACAGGAGCATGTAGAATCAATTGTCTCTTCGCAATGAAGAGCAATAACAGGCCCATATAAAAGTGCCAGTAGCTGAGGCCCCAGAAGGTCTCAAAGAATTAGAAAACTAATTTTTTCTGATGACTATAAAGTCTATGTTAGTGAAGAAATTCAAATGGAGGGTGGTCCCACCTCATTTGACGAAGCCATGAGAAGCGTTTACTCGTCTAAATGACAAGAAGCTTTGGAAGCTGAAATGAATTCGATGAATACCAACGATGTTTGGGACTTAGAAGAAATTTTCAATGGAGCCAAAACAGTAGGCTGTAAATGGGTCAACAAGACAAAGCGTGACTCCAAAGGTAACGTGGAAAGATATAAAGCACGACTTTTAGCAAAAGGCTTTACGCAAAGAGAATGAATAGATTACAATGAGAGTTTTCTCTCCAGTCTCATGGAAAGATTCTTTTAGAATCATAATGTTGTTAGTGGCACATTACGATTTAGAGTTAAATCAGATGGATGTGAAGACGACATTCATCAACGGGGATTTGTATGAAAACGTTTACATGGCATAACCCAAATGTTTTGTCGTGAAAGTAAAAGAACGTATGGGATACCGCCTGTAGAAATCCATTTATGGGTTAAAGTATTTGAAGTTGATGAAACAATAAAAAAGTTTAGGTTTAAAGAAAATAAGAAGGACAATAGTGTTTATGCGAAGTTCAAGAATGAAAAATTTATTTTCCACATCATGTGTATAGATGATATCCTACTCACTAGTAGTGATGTTAATCTGTCATTAGAGAAGAAGTTCTTATCCTCAACTTTGAATATGAATGATCTTGGTGAAGCGTCATTGGTTCTAGGAATTGAAATTCACCGAGATAGAAGATAATGGGTATTAGGACTGTCGCAAAGACATACTTAAAAAAGATTCTAAAGAAATAAAGTATGCATGCGAATAAACATACGCCTGCTCCTAAAGTCAAGGGTAATAGATTTGGGAACCTTAAGGGTTCCAGGAATCAATATGAGATCGATCAAATGAACATGGTTCCATATGCTTCAGCTGTTAGAAGCTTAATGAGTGTACAAGTAAGAACTTACCCTGACGTAGCTCATGTATCCGGGATGTTTTGACAGAAATCCAGTCTAGATATAAATTACTGGAATGGAGTTAAGAATGTCTTGCAATTTTGCAAAAGTATTATAGGCCTCATGCTGAGTAAGAAAGAACAAGTACTCTCAAATAGTGTTGGGTACAAATGTTAAACCTTGGCGAGATGTGTAGTGAAATCCACAATAGTTGCTAACACTTGTAGTTGAAGTATTATTGTGGAAAAGCTCTAAAGAAACAGTTGTGGTATCATCAATGACACATACCTTAGTATAGCTTGGTATCAGGCTTCAGGGACAGGCAAAAGTGGTTAAGGAAATTTTGTACCCGAAATTAATACTAGTAGACAACAGCAATAACCATTTAAAGCAAATCACTCATATGACAACAGGTCAAGTGCGCTGCCAAACACATTGACATTAAGTTACATGTTATAAAGGAGAAAATCCAGAATTATTTTGAAAGCATTGAGCATATAAGTATCGAGTAAGTACTTGTGGATCCGCTTACCAAAGGCTTACCACCCAATGCGTTCAGAGAACACATAGTCGACATGGGTTTACGGGAAAGCCTATGATTTCTGGATACTAAGGGCCTAGTTGAGAATCTGTTTCAAAATAGAGAGGTATATTGTAGCTGTTAGTCCAATAGTACTAACTGTTATGACGAGGCATACTCTATGCACTAATCTATGATGGAATGGGAAAAAAGACAAAGTGAATTAAG